TGTGCCGCGCCGGAGGGGTGAGGGGGCACGTGCGCGCGTGTGTGTGCATGTGTGTGTGTGCCGCGCCGGAGGGGGGAGAGGGGGCGCGTGCGCGCGCGTGTGTGCCGTGCCGGGGGGGAGAGGGGGCACGCGTGTGTGTGTGTGCATGGGTGTGTGTGCCGCGCCGGGGGGGAGGGGCCGTGCGCGTGTGTGTGCCGCGCCGGGGGGGGGAGGGTGAGGGGCCATGTGTGTGCGCGCGCCAGGGAGTTTGCGCCAGTGCGCATGCTCAGTTGCTTTGCCGTTTATTGTGGTTGTTGTTGTGTGTTTTTGATTTCTGAGTGGATTAGTTTGTACCTTGTTGGTTGCCCTTGGGGCATGGGAAGTTTGGTGGAGTTTCGTTGGGGGGTTTTTGAGTTTTGTTTCCTCATACGACGCCAGGAGGAAATTTATATATATAGATATTATTAGTAGTATTATATTGTATTATAATTATATATATATATATATATATATATATATATATATATATAGCATTATATTATATTATAATATATACACAGACATAAACACACATATATACACACACAACACATATACACAGACTGGGCCACAGCAACGCGTGGCGGGTACAGCTAGTATTACTATATTGTACTAAACCATTATACTGTAATATTACATGTAATATAAAATATATAATTATCATATTATTAATATTATATTGTATTACATTATAGTATTATAAATATTATATGTATATACAATATATTATATTGCATTATATTATATTATATCGTATTATACTATTAGCATAGCACAGGAGACAAGGTGGATCCCAGAAAACTCACAGCAACTCTGTGATTCTGACCATGAAAAATTTCGACAACACATAAAGCTTTCAGGAGCTCCTGCTGAACCATTTCAAAGCTCTCTGCTTGAGCGGTGATGGCACGATCGTCAGCATAAATGAAACTCTGCCATACAAATCATCCCTCCGATCCCAAGAATTGTCCTATCCCAATCCTACAACTGTTTAAATATTTACAAAACGATGCTACACTTGGCTCATCTCACAAAGGCGGCTTTGGGTCCATAAACGTTGGATTCCTCAAGTAAACACTGACCTCAAGAGTTGGTTGTATTTAGCAAGGCGTTCGGATCGGCAAGGAGCACCTGTCTTGATCTGGAAAAGAGAATAGAAACTGAGTAAGAGCTCTGAATGTAGGTGAACTACAACTCCTATAATTCCCTCCAAAGACCTCCAGTAGGTTTTGTTGGTCATGGGAGTTCTGCGTGCCAAGTTAGTTCCAGGTCCATCCTTGGTGGAGTTCAGAGTGTAGGTGAACTATACATCCCAGTACCTACAACTGAATTCTCCCCAAACCTCTCTAGTGTGTTCAGTTGCTGATCAATACCTCTGTTTGCTGTGTGCCAATGAAAAAGATAGGAAAGGGTTAAGGGAGAGGTAGTGGGCAGGGTTATGCAAATTCCACACCAATGGAGAGAGAAAGAAACACTGGGATGTCTGTGGTGGAGGAAAGACATAAATTCTAGGATGGAATCATCCCCAAATGAAAGCCTTCACTCGGGTCGTGAGCAGTGTGGTGTTTATGGAGGACCTTGGCAGGGCTCTTGGACATGTTCATGGCGCTCACTATAACTTGCAATGTCACTGGAGGGAGGGCCATTGGTGTCTCCTGAGTAGTGGGAGCTATCGCTGTTTGTGAAAGTGGGAGCTTGTCTGTGTTAGTGGACACCCCAGCCACACACACACACACACACACATTCACTTTTATTGTGTGTATAGATTATGTGTATAGATAGATGTATAGGATACATGGAGGGATAGATGGATGGATGGGTAGATGGATGGATGGATAGATAGATGGATGGATGGGTGGATAGAAGGATGGATAGATGGATGGATGGGTAGATGGATGAATGGAGGGATAGATGGATGGGTAGATGGATGGATGGATGGATAGATGGATAGAGGGAGAGATGATTAGATGGATGGATAGATGAATGGATGAGTAGATGGATGGGTAGATGGATGGATGGATAGAGGGAGGGATGGGTAGATGGATGAGTAGATAGATGTATGGATGGGTAGATGGATGGATGGATAGATAGATGGATGGGTGGATAGAAGGATGGATAGATGGATGGATGGGTAGATGGATGAATGGAGGGGTAGATGGATGGATGGATGGATGGATGGATGGATGGATAGATGGATAGAGGAAGAGATGATTAGATGGATGGATAGATGTATGGATGAGTAGATGGATGGATGGATAGAGGGAGGGATGGGTAGATGGATGAGTAGATAGATGTATGGATGAGTAGATGGATGGATGGATGGACATATAGATGGATAGATGGGTGGCTTGATGGATGGATAGAGGAAGGGATGGGTAGATGGATGGATGAGTAGATAGATGATGGATGGATGAGTAGATGGATGGATGGACAGATAGATGGATGGATGGGTGGATAGATGGAAGGAGGGAGGGAAGGATAGATGGATGGATGGGTAGATGGATGGATGGACAGAGGGAGGGATGGGTAGATGGATGGGTAGATAGATGAGTGGATGGGTAGATGGATGGATGGAGAGATGGATGGGTGGATGGATGGGTAGATGGATGGATGGATAGATAGAATATATACCCACCTGCCCAGTGCAGAGCCCGACCACCAGGTCAGCAATGAAAGTGTCTTCGGTCTCTCCGGAGCGATGGCTGACCATCACACCCCAGCCATTGGACTGAGCGAGCTTGCAGCTGAAGAAAGAAGAGGATTGGCAAATGTAAACATACAATGAGAAGAAACCGCACCTTCTCTTGTCCCAAACCATTCTAAGACTCTATAACAGAGGTTTCCAAACGGTGTGTCGTGACACATTTGTATATCCGCTGCAGTGTGTAGGTGGTGTCGTGCAAATGGAATGAGAAACTGCTTTGAGTCCCTCTCAGGGGATACACACACACACACACACACACACACACACACACAAATAATAATCCAGGGAGGGGATCCAAATCACACTACATTAAACATCTGATGATTATTTATTCATCATACGTGGAAAATTATATATGGGTATTTATGTGTGTATTTCTCTTGACTCCTTAGTTCTTTTCCCATGTGTTTGCAAGGACGCGCAAAAGCAGGAAACTATTGTAGTCAATATAGGAGGTGACTACTGACCCCTAGTGGCTGGCGATGACTATAGACATCATGCGCAGAGCCTTGTAAACAAAATGGAGATGCTAAACGCAGGGGAATATTATTTTCCCCTAACTCCTTGGGCTGTCTGGATGTAGGTGAACTACAACTCCAAAATTCAAGGTCAATGCCCATCAAACCCTTCCAGTATTTCCTGTTGAGCATGGGAGTTCCATGTGCCAAGTTTAGTTCGATTCCATCGTTGGTGGAGTTCAGAATGCTCTTTGATTGTAGGTGAACTATAAATCCCAGCAACGACAACTCCCAAATGTCAAGGTCTATTTCCCCCAAACTCCACCAGTGTTCACAATTGGGCATATTCTGTATTTGGTCCAAATCCATCATTGTTTGAGTCCACAGTGCTCTCTGGATGTAGGGGAACTACAACTCCCAAACTCAAAGTCAATGCCCACCAAACCCTTCCAGTATTTTCTGTTGGTCATGGGAGTCCCGTGTGCCAAGTTTAGTTCAACTCCATCACTGGTGGAGTTCAGAATGCTCTTTGATTGTAGGTGAACTATAAATTCCAGCAACTACAACTCCCAAATGTCAAGGTCTATTTCCCTTAAACTCCATCTGTGTTCATATTTGGGCATATGGAATATTCGTGCCAAGTTTGGTCCAGATCCATCATTTTTTTGAGTCCACAGTGCTCTCTGGATGTAGCTACTAGTGATTCTCTGGATGTAGGTTAACTACAACTCCCAAACTCAAGGTCAATGCCCATCAAACCCTTCAAATTTGGGCATGGAGTTCTGTGTGCCAATTTTGGTTCAATTCCATTGTTGACGGGGTTCAGAATGCTCTTTGATTGTAGATGAACTATAAATCCCAGCAACTATAACTCTCAAATGACGAAATCAAAATTCTAATCCGAACATCCGATTTTTATGACAGGACCAATTAGAAACTGCCATTTATAATAAAATTCTGAAAGTTTTGTTAGAGTTCTGAAATTTTCACCACCAGAACTTTAACAACACTTTAGAAGCAAAGACCCAGCTTTAGATACAAAACTTTCAAAAAATATATTTATTATTTCGTTATTGGCGATTTTTATGACAGAACCAATTAGGAACGGCCATTTATTATGACATTTTGTTAAGATTTCTGAAATTCTCACCACCAGAACTTTAGCAACACTTTAGAAGCAAAGCACCAGCACCCCCTGGTTTTGTAAGTACTTTAGAACAATGGATTGCCCATGTCTAGCTTTCGGAGGTCCGACTGCCAGAACCAATTAGGAACTGCCATTTATTATGACCTTTTGTTAGAGTTCTGAAATTTTCACCACCAGAACTTTAACAACACTTTAGAAGCAAAAAAACCAGCTTTAGATACAAAACTATCAAAAATTCTATTATTTCGTTATTGGCGATTTTTATGACAGAACCAATTGGGAAATGCCATTTATTATGACCTTTTTTAGCAACACTTTAGAAGCAAAGCACCAGCACCCCCTGGTTTTGTAAGTACTTTAGAACAATGGATTGCCCATGTCTAGCTTTCGGAGGTCCGACTGCCAGAACCAATTAGGAACTGCCATTTATTATGACCTTTTGTTAGAGTTCTGAAATTTTCACCACCAGAACTTTAACAACACTTTAGAAGCAAAAAAACCAGCTTTAGATACAAAACTATCAAAAATTCTATTATTTCGTTATTGGCGATTTTTATGACAGAACCAATTAGGAACTGCCATTTATAACAAAATTTTGAAAGTTTTGTTAGAGTTCTGAAATTTTCACCACCAGAACTTTAGCAACACTTTAGAAGCAAAGCACCTGCACCCCCTTGTTTTGTAAGTACTTTAGAACCATTTAGAACCATGGATTGCCCATGCCTTATTATT